AACGGGCAACCTTCCAGTGCACAGGAAGATGCCGAACCAACTGAACTGCACCAGCCAGGGCCTGGCAGTAGTTTTCTTAAAACGGATCTGAGGATTTATTCATTTGTAGTTCTGGAAGGAGGCTCTCAGTCCAAACTGCCCCCACCACACCTCCTGGCCAACCATGCCCCCACATCAAAATGAACTAACAGTCCCGACCTCTACTGAACCCAGACCAGGTACCAGCGGCCAAAAAAAATCAGAGAATATCCCAAGGCTCTGCCACTCAGTGCAAACAAAGGAGAGGGTGTTAAGCAGGGTGTGACACAATCTGCTGGAAAAGAAGCAAGACTGGAATGAAAGAAGACTAATTAAAAGACATTTAATAAGCCACAAAGAATATTGTGACCTTAACTAAGGCAGTGGCAATGGGGATGGAAAGAAGGTAATGACTCTGAGAAAACTCTGGGAGGAAGACTCAATAGGATTTGGCAATTAATTGGTTATGGCCAGAGAAAGGAATCAAGGATGATTCTCAGGTTTCTGACAGAGCTACTGAGTCGCCATCTGAGGGAATGTTGGAGGTCTAGTGTTGAGAGAAAGATAAGCCTTGAGCTTTTAGGGGCCTGTGGACATGTAGGTGGGGACAGAGAATAGGAGCTGGATATGCAGGTTTGGAGTTCAGATGGCAGATGGAACAGTGTCTTTTCTCCAGTGGGATCTCTGCTGCCATGTCAGTTTCCATTTCTCAGTTGCAGAAAAGATGATAAGACATCAGCATACAGAGGATACTTGAAGCTATGGCAAAAGGTGAGCTCACTCTGGTGTGAGTGTGCAGAATAAAAAGAAAAGACAGCCAGGACAGAGATCAAAGAAATATCAATATTTAAGAAACAAAATTTAAGAAAAAAGGAAAAAGCACCCATAAGACATGGGAAGGAAAAGCCAGAGGAAAGGGAGACACAGAAAAGTAAAGATAAAGAGCACTTCAAGAAGGATGAAGTGGTCAACTCAGCTGAATGATGCCAAGAAGTCCCAACCTTTTGTCTATATCCTACACTTTCCCCCAACACACACACAGGATGGTCACTGTCCCACAGTTCTCTCCCAGTGTGTGGTTCCATCACTATGGGACTTCACTCCAGGTGACTGTAGCTCTTCAATAGTGTTGGCCACTTGATTGCAGCCCTGAGGGCACCCTCAATAGTCCCCTGAGTGCATGTCCCTCAAATAAAGTTGAGCAATCTGAACAAGTATCTTTGATCTCCACTTCCTGAAACCTGAAGTGTTCCAGGTCCACAACTGCACAGGCACCATCAGAAAGGTGTAGTATGCACCCCCATGAGGAAGGCAGCCCAGCATTGACACTTTCAATTCCAGAGTTGAGGCTGAGCTAGATGAGGATTCTTGCAGCGGCTCTGAGCAGCCCTAGACTCTGCTCCACCAGAGCTGAGTCTGATTACCTGGATCCTCTCCAAAGGTCCTCTTCCCAGACTACACGGAGGGCCAGGCCTTCCTTCGTGGCAGCTCTTCCCTAACCCCTCCATTCTCGCCCTCAACCCTACCCTTCTCTCTTCCTGACCTGCCTCCCTTCTCAGACTCACAGGCCACTGGGAAAGACTCTGGCCACTCTGTGCTGTTCTGTTGGTGAAGCCAGATCTTCAAGCTACAGGCTAAAATCTGAGTTCCTCAATGGTGGCACCTCCCCACTCTGCACGGGTCCTACCCTCCCACCACGCCAAAGATGGAACCCCTTTATAGAGACATTCCTGCCTAGGTAAGAAGAGAAGAGAGAAAACTGGTGAAAGAATGTTAAGCACCATTAGGAGCTTCAAGTAGTGAAAGCCAGCTACCAGGGACCAATGCCAGAACAAGTGCTGTATCTTAAACGTGTTTAGAAAGAAAATTAAATCAGCACTTACTAAATTAACACCTGCCTAAGCAGGATCTGTGACTACAGCATCAAAGCCCACATAAACCCGAAGTATCAACTCATCCAGTTTTGACAAAAGATGGACACAAAATGATTTTGTCAGGATGGGAGATTTCTTTTCTCCGGTGGGATTTCTGCTGCCACTTCAGTTCCCATTTCTCAGTGCTTCACTAATCAGGCCCTTTCCAACAAAAGTGACGCGAAGCTGGTTGGGGGAAGCGGGGGCTGGGAGAGAGGGAGGACAGCAGTGAGGAGCCATGTATCTGGGAAACCAGAGTGGGAAATGGAAATATTTCCTGAATTCCTTAGAGTTAGCTAAATCTGAAAATGGATGTCAAAATACGAAGTCAGCCACATACTAACAAGTTGTGGGTGTCAGTCTAACACCACCCTTGTCAGGCTCATCATCAGCCTTTACCAGGCGCATGAAAAGGTGAGGGCTCTGACGAGCCATCTGACGAGAGGTTCCAGGAACGCCGATAAGCTGTGCGCCGTCACGCAGCACTACTTAGGCTTCCTCTCTGGCTGTTTTTATTTTGTTACACATTTAATTAAGAGCCTTCCCAGCAGCTATGCGGAGTCCTGCTTCTAAAAGGCAGCACAGTGCTCTCCTCCCCCAACCCCTGCCACCTGACATCTGCTTCCTCCGGCACACTCTTCCAGAGCTTCACTGGCTTTCCCAATCCAAACCCAAGCCAGTCCAACCCTTTTCCTTTTTGGACGCTATATGGTCTCAGAATTCAATTCTGCCTAGCTGTGAGTCTTTACCAATTTGAGCCTCCGTTTTTAATTTTGTTTTGTGTGTTCGTTTCAGCTTTAAAGGGATACTACCTCCTAACCAGGGAAGATAGAAGGACTGAATGACATGGTTATGTACTCATGAAAATGTGGTTCCCTTTCATAGATGCTTAGATTGAACAACCCAATCCCAAACTTGATCACACCTTGTTGATTACATCATTTCTTGTGAAGATATAGAGCAGCCTCCGGAGTCACCTAAATCTGCCAGGGCCCACCATGCCAAGGGCTGAACTGCTACTGCAGGCCAAAGTGGGCCAGACTCCAAGCCTAGGGGGCCCAGCCATATAGTCTCCAACTTCATGCCCAGGAACATTTTCATATGCACATACAGGATGGGGCAAAAGTAGCTGTTCGTATTGTGAGAACATGAAACACAGAGTTTATTCTTGTATTGTTATTTATTAATTACTGTATTATTTTCCACACGAACAGCTGTAAACCTACTTTTGCCCCACCCTGTGTATGTACATGCCGCAAAAGATTCTGAAATGTGGGTTGTGTGACATGAACATGCCTAAGACCACTAGAAAACCACTAGAGGAGTGGGAGGCCCGGGAGGCTACCTGCAGGAACTAGGCCTCTGGACTGGACCACAGGAGCCTCAGAAGTCTGGTATTAGCCTGCACTCTGCCCGACCCCAAACAGCTTCTCCTGTGCTATGGAGCTCCACTAAGTCCTTCTCTGCTTCAAGTGCTCAAAGCTGCCAGGACACCTTAAACAAGAACAACAGCCTTCCTCTTCCTTTCTCCATGGAGCCTGCCTCTGATTCATACCAGCCCAGCCTGTATAATTTCCCTGACTGATGAATGTCATCGGGGAGCACCAAGATCCCCTGGCGCTCTGGGAGCTGTGTGTGCAAACCTGGAGGTGTGCAGCCAGTGTGTGTGCATGAACTAAGAATGTGGGAGATGACGTGTGTGGGTTTTTACGTGACCTGGGCTTGTTTTTCTTCCTCCTGTCTCACCTAGAGAGTTGGTATCCAATTGCAGGCCTGACACCCACCAAGCTGGGTGCATAACTTTGCCTCAATGCCCAGTATCCAAAAGGCATAAAAAGGACCTTGGTGAGAAAATAATGCCTAATTTGGTAGGAAATATCACTCCAGAACCACTACTCCCAACTCCCCACTAATACCCCATGCTATGCTCAAAAGCATAGGTGCATGCACGTGTATGCTCGTACACACACACACACACACACATACACACAATGCTTGCCGCCACCATCAGTCACAAAGAACACAGAGTTATCGATTCTATCAATCCTCAGCAAACAATGCCCCTCCCACCTCCACCCCACTTTAGTTCCCTGGGGGCTGTCTGAAGCCAGGTATCCATGAGGACAGACAAGACACAGAAGTGTCTGCCCAGCAAAGGACCAGTTTTGTCTTCCAGGATCAGGAGACAAAGGAGGAAAAGCAATGGGACAAAGGAGAACAGAGGAGACTGGTGACTTGGGCAGCTTCCTAGAAGCAGCCCTCTCTCACTCTACACTTGGCTCTCAGTTGAATCATCAGGGCCTAGTATCCCAGATAAGGCACACACACACACAAAAAAAGAAGAGGATAACACAGTATAATGGTTAAGAGAAAGGGCCCTGGAGATAGGCTGCCTGGGTTTGAATCCTGGCCCTGTGTGTCTTAGACAAGTTACTTAACCTCTTTGTTCTCTAATCTTCTCATCTATAAAAATAGAAATAAGAGTACCTATAGTTATCAAATGAGTTACTATTTCTAATGCACTTAGACTAATAATCACTATGCATCTGGTTAAAAAAGAAAAACCCTCTTTGCCCTGGCCTTTGTGTTCAGTGGTTAGAGCACTGGTTGGCAAACCAAAGGGTTCTGGGTTCAATTCCTGGTCAAGGGCACGCACATACTTGGGTTGCAGGTTCAATCCCTGGCCCTGGTTGAGGTGAATGTGGAAGGCAACCAATCAATATATCTCTCTCACATCTATGTTTCTCTCTCATTCTCGTCCTTCCACTTTCCAAAAATCAATGGAAAAAATATCCTCGGGCAAGGATTAACAAAAATACATACATACATACATACATACCCTCTTTTCACTTCTTCCTTCCCAGGCAATGACATGTAGCCCTGCAACTGAAGGGCTGTCCTAAGTAGTGACACCTGGCAAAAACAGCTGTCCCAGAAGCAGGCAGGGCTCCCAGCCCTCTTCTTATCCTGGGACTCCCTGGCCCAGATGGGCACTTATTTCTGTCAAAGGCAAGAACTGGTCCCACAGATCCCAAGCCCTGCCAGCAAAGTTGCCCCTCTCATACTCACATGATTTTTAAGTCCCAGTCTCCACAGGTGACAAAAATTGACTTGACGTTTGGATCTAAGAGGCCTTCCTTCGCCATCCACTCATCGACTCTCTGAAAAGTACACAACAAGAATAGATGAGATTTTTCTTTCCCCCCGGCCCTGAGTACATGAAGAGCCACAACAGTGAAACGCAGATAAGCTGCTTGTAATCAGAGCAGGAGAAAACTGTAATCTTATCCAACCATGGCTCTGCTCTGGGCTCTCAGCCTTGGCTGGGAACTACAGAGGCACTTGCAGGACAATCCCTATGGGAAGATCCCACAAGACGAAGTGTTGGGGGGAGAGGTAATGTGGGTTTCTCCACACCCCTGTTACTTACCCTAGACAGGATAAGGACAGATCCCAGTAGGTCAATCCAAATACCTTTGGTCCTCAAAGGCAGAGTCTAGCATAGACATGGGCTGTCCTGGGCCATGAGAACAGGCTGGATCCCCAAGCAGGGACTCCAATCCACAGGTTCATTCATTCACTTATTCATTTGACCCTCCCACCAAATGTTTATTAACCAAACTTATGAATTTGGTTATTCCCCAAGTAAAGTGAAGTTAATTTCCACCATGACTCTAGCAGAAGACCCTTTGCTGGGTGGAAGCAAGCTCATTATCGGCCCCAAACTTGCTATCTCTCCTCTCCTCATTGATGATTAAAATTCAGAAATTCTTTTGAAGGCTGCACAATTCC